TGGGAATCATTATCCCCTTTGATATGGAAATTCAAAAAGTATTCCAGTTCAGGAAACTGTGCCATTATAGTTACAGAGGGGACACGCTGTTTAGAATCTAAGTATGTGCTCTCTTCCAAATTGCTACATAATCCAATAGCCTGTAGGTACGTGGCTGAGTTGCTGATAATTTTGATCACATTTTTCACACCATACTGTGTGGTGGCAATATTTGCTTAAAGTATATAGGGATTCATTCTGTACCATGTTGCTTTTTCAGTTTTGATTACCCAGATGTTTATGAGCAATTGCAAAATGTTCTAGATATAAGAATGTATCTTCAGCCTCTTTTTAAACCTGTGTTCTCTTCACAGTGTGATTTTACATGCTTAAACTGGAGTAAGAGAATGGAAAATCTGTAAGAATTGCTATTTGTCTGGTTGTTTTCAAAACTGAATCCTTTTTGGTGGATTTTTTTAATCTGTTCTGGTTTTTAATGTAACTAGAATAAAAATTTGTCAATGTAACTAAGATAGTGTTGCGCTGAAGTAGTCCGAATGAGCAGCCAGGGTCAGAGGCAGCATATATTAAGCCAGTATTGCTGCATTATCCTATTGAGTTAGCCATTTAACAGTTGTGTACACTGAATGTTTGTAATGAGTTTTCAGTCACAGAAATTGATAATTTGACTTCTATTCATGCCTCCTCTCCTGTTGTCCTCACAGTCTACCATGGTTCACAGATGATATATAGCAAGAGTAATGATCACAGAATTGTAGAAGCAGAAAAGTAATTTTAAGACAGATAAGCACCTATACTGTGGCAATGAATAGGCTAAAAAGAAACCCTTTGGGGGAGGAGGTATGGCTTCTGTGTTTTCAGTTTTGCCACAGTCTTCCTGTGTCTCAGACAGGACACTTCGCCTTTTGGAGTCTGTGTGTTTTAGCCTGTGAAATGGGAACAAGTGTTACTTCATAGATTTAGAAGTTAATTCCTTATGGATTGTGTCTAAGCATAGTCTGCTTTATTTATCAAGGCTTTGGCTTTCAGTCTGCATGTGGGGCACACTCAGCCCACAGCTCTGATTTAGGAAATTGTGCTGAAATCAAATCTTGTATGGTTTCTATGGTTAATGTGATTTAGCCCCAGAGAAGTTCTTAGCATGCATATTAGAGAGAATGTGGACCTTTCTAACCTGTGTAACCTTTGTTAATAAAGTTACAGTTACTGTTGTTGACCTTTTGTGAAAAGTAGATCCATTTGTGTTTTTATTCTGTGGCCTGAATAGAAGATAAAACAGAATGAGCACTGTTCGCTGGACGTGGGAATTCTTCCTTGCTCTGACTCATGTAGAGCAGCAGGGAGGGGGAGGAAAACGGGCTCCACAAACCTGGTATCCAGTTTTGTAATTTAAAAATCCTTTTTGATCTGAACTTTGTACATTTCATATTTCAGAGAGTATTTAGAAGTCTGATAAAAGTCTGTAGTAGTGCTGGAGAAAGATAAGGCTCACTATTGTACTAAAACAGCGCTGTGGTGCCAAGACACTAAACTTACGCTTTTTTGTTGGAGTGATTGTCAAACTTTGTATAACTTGGTATTATACAGATTAAAGGAAAAGATACCCAATCATTCTCTAGATTGCCATAAAAAACACTTTAGGCTTAGTATGCAGCTATATTGCAAACCAGTGCTTCACAGCAGTTGGGAGAAATACAGTGTGGTGAAATTACCAGTGGGGTGGAGGCCAAGATTTTTTTGTGTAGAATAGAAAAGATCCTTACTTTTTTCCCATTATATTCAGTCATTGTCCTGCCAATATGTTTTCTGATGTGTCTTGCGGAATTTTATGATAGGTTTTCAATGCTGGATGAAATTTTCTGTTCCACCATTGTGGTCAGTTTTTAGCATGCATAAAAGAAGCAGCATTGCCAAGTTTTTCTTCAAGCCTGTGAAGTCAGAGTCACAAGGAGTAGGACAAAGCCTCAGAGCTAATGGGGAATTGCAAACTCTTTGTTTATTGCACCTGGCACTTTCTCAAGATCTGCTTAGTAGGGGCCAGACCACTCATTTCCTCAAGCAGATAAGGAGGATGCTTTCTCTCCCTGAGTCAAAGCTCTGTGACTTTGTAAATAAGTCAGGATAAATGTATATTTTAAGGGTACTTTCTAGAGGGATTGTAGCTAGCACATTGCAAACTCTTATCTCGGAAAGCCTGAACTCCAGGACTAGTTAAACTGAATAAGTTAAAAAAACCTATAGACTTAAACACCACATGCTGTCATAACAGCTTAGACATGAATTGTGCCTGAATTGTCTGAAATGAGATTTTTAAGCATACTAAACAGGTATTAAAAAACCTGCCCCCCTCCTCAAGAGCATTCTAGTGGTTTTGAGACCCATGGGAGAAACTGGGGAACTTACCTGTTTGAGCTCTGTGAGGAAATGTGCACCCCCCACACCCTCCAGGTTATTTCAAGGCAGTAACTTGGGACACTTTTACACAAGTTTCTCAATATGTAGTTTTTTTATTTCTACTATTGATGTGATTTCATGGCTCTCGTTTGATACACGTAGTCACAAGTGTTGGTCTGTCAGATAAGGCCCAGCAGTGAACCAGACCTTCATTTTCTTGTCTATCTTTTTTTTAAATCTTCATTCTTAGGAACTAATCCAGCAGATGTAAATGTGGAAATAATTCTGTGTAATCTTCTGCTTTAAGACAGTCGTTCCGAGATTTGGACAATGCTGAGCAACTGTGTTAATCTTCCTTCAGGCAAATGGAAGCAATTCTCTATAGAGTAGAGATTGATTGATGAAATTTAAGCTCTATTTTTCAGAAAATTCCAGTATTTTGAATTCATGTTTCCACCATGCATTAAAATAAGATTTTTTAATACAGTTACCCTCTGCAATTGTTTAAATTATTTTATATTGTAATTTAATGCAAAAGTCAAAACACTTTAACTTTCATGTATTAGACTATAACTAAAACCAAAACAATGGAATTTAAACAAAGGGTTCTAACTTTACCAAAACTAAATATGAGTACTTAATGACAGTCAAATGTTTTAAGCATATTACCCTAAAAAAAAAGTTTTAAGAAAATGCTGGTTCTGCAAAAACATTGAATATCTAATTATTGTTTCTCTGTTTTATGTAAAAATTTTTACTTTCTTGGCAGTTTTGAATTCAGCTTTGTGCAACATCACTGTAAACACACAAATGCTGTAATACTGATTTTAGCAGGAATGGCTCGGATAGCTTTTAACACAAAACATAAGTAACCTGAAATTTCTTGATGGAAAATCTAACACGATGCAACAGACTTCGTCTCCTATGAGAAACATGCTAGAAGCAAAACATCTTAGCATACTGTAGGGGGAAAAGAATGGAAGCTTTTTGTGCAAAGGTACAGGTTTGATAAGCCTTTTCATATTCATTGTCTGTGATTGAATTTTGTTTTATTTCAGCCTGAAATGAAAGCTTTATTCTTCAAGGGCAATAATGACATGGTTTTTGTAACTCCTTAGCTTTCAACAATAGTGTATAATATTTTGGTTCACCATTGTGTTAAAACTGTGTTTTTTCTAACTGCTGTGGCATAATGATTTATTAGTGTTGACACTCAAGGGTTGTTTGTCAAAAGCTAAGGTTTTGCTCCTTCTGGCAGATTACATACGAATTATGCAAATCACTGTAGTGCAGATTTTAACCTAATTATGTTATACATCTTGAACAATGATAATTTCTGTAAGGGAAAGATGTCTAGCACTTTAGTTGCTAATGCATTTTTTCTTCTTTTGGTATTCTACAAAAGAAGCCACATTAAAAAGTGATAGTATGTGTTATAACAGGTTTTGCTGCTGTGCAGGTTATCTGCTTATGCTGCTAAAGTATATGAAAGCTGATTGTAAGAATTAGCAGTAAACTGTGGTTTCACTTACAGAATTTGCTAGAGGACTAGAGAAATTTAATTTCTTTCTTTGTGTGTAGATGCACACATGCCTATACATTTTATAGAATTGCCCAGCTCAAATAACTACTGGATTAACAACAGTGATCAGAGTTCTGTGTTCACATACCTTGAGACAGGCTTGCCATCTGTGGAATTACAGACTGAAGTGCAGATCAAGTCAATCCACACAAAGTTCACCTACTGAAGAAGTTAGTCTGAGTTGTAGTCCACACAATCCACAGCCCAGGGAGACCCATACTAGCCTAGCTTCCCTACCAGCACAGAATAAGGACCAGACTATGCCAGACAAGTCAGGGTTGAGGTGTGTATGTGGCAGGCCAAGACTGGGAGTTGTCCTTTATCATATCTGAGGTTTGAAGAAAGACATCTGATTTCAGGACTGTCGGCTCCTAATTTATACACATGCATGCACACTTAAGGCTTATTTTAAAAAATAACCTTCATGTCACCTAGGTCCCATTTAACTTTATTTGCATGTCAACAAGAGCTGAGAAATCTAACTACATTTTTAAGCTTCATGGTTCCTGTTAGACACTGCTCATTTAATTGAAGATTTTACACTGAGTTTTACTAACATCTCTCAGTGATCCAGTAGAAGTATGAGCAATGTGACATAGTTCATTTGGGCTGCGTGTCCTTGTGTTGTATTGCTCACACCTTATTAGTCTTCAGCAAATGTTCCACTTTTCTTTAGTTTTGGCAAGCTGCTCGGAACACCATTTCCTTCTTTTCATTCTGGTGGAGTCCGATTGTTCTTTGCTTATACTACATCAGCCTTTCCCAGAATTTAGCCTGGAGTTTTTATACACTGGGGAGTTTCCAGTGTGTTTAGATTTCCTAATGTGACTGTGACAGAACCATGCTTTCAGATAATACTGTCAAACTAGATTTTGGTGCTGTTTTTCTGTGTTTCTTTGCAGTATTTTGCTCTGCAGAAATGATGTGAGCAATTATTTCATCTCTTGAAAGTGATATTTTTCAAATCATCCTCCCAAACAGTTAAGATTGTCCCAAAACTTTTTCTTGTTCTGTTTTTCATTAGGTTTGTGTAAATCAATCGGCGTAAGCAACTTTCTTATCAGCCATCTTGACCAACTAAAGGAAGACTGTGTCATTACTCCACATGTTAATCAGGTGAGTGGATAAATGTATTTAAAGTGTCTGAGTTTGGGTTTTTACTTTGTTTTTTTGGCAAACCTCCCCACCCCTGTGTCTGAAAGGCTACACCCAAACTAGCTTTAGTCATACAATTTCTCCTTTTTTTAGTATGTACATACTGAAAACCATTCAGGAAGATGACCTGAAGGGGAGGGAAGTCCTTCCTCCTATTTTCCACCCCAGTTTCTCCCAGGCTACTTGTTTGTGTCTGGTTTTACGACACAAACAAATGATCCCTGTGGCAGTTTTTGATGATAAAACAGTCAAGAAATAAAATTCGAGGAGCACTGAACATGTAGCATCTCTAGAGAGAGCAGGATTTTGGAAAGCCTGTGTTCAAATGCTTTTGTGCTTCCTCTAAGCAACACTGAAAGCCTCAGGTAATTACATATCCATGCAAGGCTGCTGTTTCCCTTGCTCCCCCCTTATTTCCTATTTCAAGATCACATTAAATTCAGTGAACTCCTTGTCTAGGCAGGTGCTGTGACAGCCCTGGCAAAATTTTTTTTGCTGCCCTAGGCAGATATAAAACGGCCACCTACATACCGGCACACTGCCAGGGCACTTGACAACTCTTCCCTTGTTGCAGGTTTCTGCCTCCAGCTGTGCTGGAAGTTTATGCTCCCATTGCTACCATCTCCTGCCAGAGAAAGTGTGCTTGTGCTAACATGGACGTGGGAACTGGAATGGATGGAGTACAGGCACACGCTTTTCCCTTTGTACAGGTGGTCGGGATTTCTGGCAGCTGTTTGTGGTTTAATGTCTTTAACAGCCATACAAAGGTTGCTCAGTGTGACCGTCAGAACCAAGCAGCTCTGATTTTAGCTGTCCACTAGACGAAAGGTTACTAAGGAACAACTGTGAGTAATGTTAAATTAGCATAAACTCATATAAAATAGTTAAATTCAGTTACTCAAAATAAGCCATTGAAATATATGTTAAGATGGGCAGGCTGATGACTGTTTAAGAATCAGTGAGTTTTCCAAGGTTCAAGAAAGGCACATCTACAAAGTCTTGCTAGAATTTGGCACAAGCTGTTACTGCCTGTTAAATGAGAGGAGTTGTTGTGTCCTACTAAATCACTGCAAAGAAAAAAAGTGTATTCTTGAATTTGTTTTGAAATTTCCTCTTACTCACAATGTCCAAATGTTACCAGTCTTGCTGTGTCAGTAGTATTCATGGAGGCAAGTTGTTTCTTGGTCCTGTTTGACAGAATTCTTTTTCTGTGGCTGAAAAAAAGGAGACAGAGTTGAGGTGGTGGTGATACTGGGGAGTGGGAGAGTTATTTCTTTAAGGTGATGCACAGCAATGTTCTGAATTTAATACAACCACCACCAATGAAATACCCATGCCACTGCAAAGTGCTCCACTTTGAACAGTTTTGTTATAGCATTAATTTACACCTTTTAGATTTATAGAAAACCTGTAAACCATACTTAAGGTTATCCTCAGAGTATTTATTCTGTTTCTTGCATAGTGTTGAGTAGAGGTTTTGAGTCTGATGGTAAGATTACTTAAGCATCATCAAATAACTAATGAATTCCTAAATTCAAATTGGAACTGGAAATGCTGTATTGAGTTCCTATTTCACTTTCCACAGTTTATAATACAAATTTTTTGCTATATTTATGCATAAAATAGCGTGCTCTTTCAATGGACTTATTCCTAAATACAAAACATTTGCAAATAATCACTGTATACAAAGTCTAAATATGTAAAAAAGCAACTGGAAGAAAATCACTTCCCTTTTAGAATTTAGGGTGTTCTTACACTTCCAACAGTTCTTATGATGCTAAAATTGAAAGTTGTTTTTTCTGTGAAGAGGAGGAAGTAGGAAGGCTTTCTTCTCAGTTCCTGGAAAAAAACCCCTGATATCATTATGGCTTTTGAAGAAGTAGGAAAGGCCTGTCTTTTCAAGAAGATAGTATTATTAAGGTATTTATTACTAAGCAAGCACCTTTTAAAATTACAATATATTATTAAAAGTACTGCTAAACACTGTGTAAAATGATGGAAAATACTTTATCATATAGAATGAATCTTATAACCTGCAAGTTTCGGGTTTGTGTTCCAGAGTTTGTAATTGACTTGGCAGTAGTAAGTTTGGATTTATGCTCAAAGAAGTCTTTGAAGTGTCTTTGAAGGCTTATGGGCCTGTCACTCATTAGGGGAAAAAATACATTTTATAAGTATTTAATTAATATATATGTTTCATTTAATAAAGTGATACACTGAAAGCAAATATAAACTGTCCCTCTCTGAATTCCATGTAGAAATGCTCATCATATTTTTTTCACTCTTAGAGAGGTGCTTATTACTGTGTAATACTTCAGAGAGATTTAGCAATGTCATTGATATTGCCATTAATATTGAGCTCTATTGTGTAAATTTGTACAAGGTAGAAATGTATTTAAGGCATTAGAAAACAACACCTTTGTACATAAACTCACCTGAACTGTTCCTCTATAGAGAAAATATTTATAGGCTTGTATTTCAGTTTTATAAAGAGAAATAATTGTAAGACTCAGCATTCTCAATGAGAAAATTGCTGGATTCCAGATGCAGGGAAACCTTACCAGGTGAAAAGGATCCACAGCAGGGTGGAAAGAGTAAGGCTTTTGTGTACCATCATCCGACGTATGACTTTCTAGGGCCATGTGTCAGGATTGTTATTAGACTCAGCTTTTCCCCATTTTGCTATGACTTGAAAAAAACCAGCACTTCAGAGGTCCCCTGTGGGCCTCCTGACCAAGTAGCAGCTGTGAAAAGTTCTGTAATGTGAACTGCAAACTGTTTTATTAAAAAAATGCCAGTTTTTACGCGGAAATCACTCAGGGTAGAGTGCCAGAAAAGATCAAGATCTTCCTCTACCACCATGTGATGGACAGCCCTCGCCTCAGAAAAGCCTGGTGACTAAAATGGCAAGGGTGGGGCAAGGCAGGAAGTAGGAATTATTACTTTGAGGGGAAGCACATGCTGGCCACTCACCTTAGGCCTCTTGTAGCTCAGGATCCTGGTCCCTTGCATTCAGGTGCAACTAGGACCTTCCAGAATGTTTTCAGGAAAAAAAAATCAAAAGTACTTATTTTATTGTATGCGTTAGATTATTTTAGTAATATATTTAAGAAGGAAAATACTTGCTGCTACTAACACAGAACTGCTTGTGCCAAAACTCATTTCACGAAATTTGGGAGACTTCTGGTTCAGTGAAAGGCAGAAAGTATAATCTTCCCAGGTGGGAAGTAGTTGTTGCTGTGTATTCTGCTTGTGAAGGAGGCAGGGGACGTCTCAGCATGCTGCTCTTGCTTTAAACATGTCTGGTGTAGCCTGGAACTGTGCTGCCTGGAATCTTACTAGACCAGCAGATAAATCCTGCTTACAGTTATGTTAGTAATAAATGCCAAATAAGTCATATGATGCCATAGGGGCACTGCAGATTTTTCAGCATTTGATCATAAATACATCCTTCTTTATTTAATATTTTCTAAGCCACAATATTTGCTATAGTTAATGTAAAGAATGTCTGCTAAAATTGCTTATTATTATTATTGTAACAGTCTATAGTACACCCTGCTTGCTCTTTCGTTTCTCCCCTCATAGTTTTGCGTAAATACAATGACAATATTTTGTAGTCAGCTCAGGTGCAAACAAGTGAATAATCATATGACCTAAACACTGCTCTTATACGCATAAACATGAAATACAAAGGGTACTCAAAGGTCAAGAAACATCAAAGGTTGAAGACATGGATGTCTGCTGCTTGAACCTTGTTCCCGAGTCCACCTAGTAATTTAGATCATAGCGGCTCTAGGCTGACTCAGCCCAGCCTTCCAGGGGCACAGTTTTTTCTTAGCACATGTTGAATGACTGCCAGCCTATTGTTCTGACTATTGTTGTCTGCAAAGACAACATGTACTAAAGATGAGAAACAGGAAATGTTCATTTTTCCTTTTTGTGGCAGAAGAAATTTTCCAGATTCCATGTGTTGAGGTAATTGTTCAGAAGAGTATTTTTCCTCAAAATGCGCAAGAGTTCGATCCCTGGAACAATGGTGATGACCAGTCACAAAAATACATAACATGATTATGTATTTTGTAAAAGGAAACACTACCCATTTTCATCTGAATGCAGAGGAAGGTATACTTCTTAGAATGTGTAAACTGTGAGATACTTATTTAAATAACATATTAAGGAATATTACAGAGGTTCTCTTTTGGGTTTAGCTACATGCCAGAATATGTGGCTCCTCTGAGATCCTTACTTTCCAATAACTTCTGTTTCCTTTCGCTCCCAACAACTGTGTCTTTGTAGCTTGTTACTTTTCCTCTTCTGACTGGCTCCTGGCAATTTGTGACCTCCCTTCACACTTCATTCCCCAGCAAGCTTGCTTCCCTGCATAAGCTTATGGTGACAGTGCACACAGAATACAGCATTTTCCATGTACAATCCAAGCCAACCGGTCAGGCCCTCATCCTAAGCAAATTGTTCTGGTTGGTCTCTTGCAGACCCAGTCCCTGCTCAGCCCCCTCCCCTTGCCTGTGCAACTCAAAGATGATTAGTAAAGAAACAGGAAAGGACGTAGATTTGGGGAAGAGAAGGTAGTCTCAAAGCACCAATAAAAATGACCTGACCGTGACTTCCACTGTGCATTGGCATGTATTTCTCAAACACAGATCAGAACAATAGTGCAAGTCCAACTGCAAGTCAGGCAGACAACTGCTCCTTTCACCTTGCTTCAGAGGGAAACATAAAATACACAGTAAACTGCTGTGCCAATTACAGGCAAAATACTTGTTGATTTATATACTTCATGTGTCTTCTAAAACTGATAATTTACATCTACTTCCCAGAAACAGTGATTTCACTCAATGCTGTATTTTTAAAACAAGAAAGAAAAAAATATTTTATCAGTGATATTTTCTACAAAATGTACTCTCAAGGTTTTTACTAGAAGCTTATTTCTGTTTATCTAAGGTTGAATACCACCCTTTCCAAAGACCTCAGGAGCTGGTTGATTATTGTAAGAGCCGAGATATTGTCTTTGAAGGCTACTGTCCTTTGGCCAAAGGGGAAGCACTAACTCATCCTACTATCATTCAGATGGCAAAGAAGTATGGCAGAACTCCAGCACAGATTTGCATACGCTGGAGTATACAGGTAATGGAGGGTGGTAATAAAAATTTGTCTCCTTTCTCAGGAAAAAAATGCAAATAGTTTGGGTTTTGTGCATCAAACTAGAATTTATACAGACAGTATTTCTGCCTTCCATATGTTGATACTGTGTGAACTAACTGCTGTACTGGAAATTTGGAATGTCGTAGGCAAATCATGCCAGTATTTTAAATATGCAAAGAATCTGATTCTAGAGAATAAGTACTAATAAGAGATGTTTTCAAAGTAAGTGTTACAAGCACTATCAGGCATCATTCCATTTCTGTCACTCAACACGAAGTACTAAGGAATGAAATATTGTGTTAAATTGACATAAACCTCATGATCTATGTTGGAAATTAATGCAGTGTATATAACTGCAGTTGCAAATGGCATATAGAAATGTCAATGTCCCCAGAAAAATGAAATTAAAACCTCAGAAGACATGAGGAATGTCTTGAAATGTTTTGAAGAGAGATCATTTTCTTCAAAACTGTGTACATTTTAATGATAAGAAGCATTATGTTTTCCAGAATGGGATTGTCACTATTCCAAAGTCAACAAAAGCAGAAAGGATAGAGGAAAACTGCAAGGTAAGATTTGGTTATGCACTCAAGTCTGACTTACATCCAAATAACAGTTTTTAATACTTTGGCTTGACTTCCCATTTTCCTATGCCACTTTTATACCGGAGTAACTCAGTTAAAGTTGGCAAATGATGGTATCATAAAACTATGCAATGTAGTAGAAAACCATAACTTACAAATATCCGAAATCAACCAGAGAGTAAATTGCTTTGTATAAAGAAAAATACATAGAAGACCTTTTGTAGTTGGTTTTTATTATTAATATTTTTATTTATGACTTTGCTGGCTGTAGAACATCCTACTCTGGTTATGGTTTGGTCCTTTTTGTGATAGGTACACAGGTCAAATGGAAGGAGCTGTGCATAACACTATGTGAAAGCTGTAAAACTCACTTAGGGTTCTCTCTCTGAGGTGGAGACCTTCCAAGGAAATCCCAGTCTTGCCAGAGCTGACTCTTCCTCTATCTTCTTCCTTCTACTCAACATGCAGAAAAGGTCCAGCATGAAAGGGGATGGACAAAGAAAAGAGGGCACAAATGAGAATTGGCAGCATGATTCCTTCCCCACAGCCTTGTTTTAATTTCCTTTTCATACCAAATGGTTTTAATTCATTACTTGATTTTTCTCTCCGTTTCTCTAATCTGAGAGTGTGCTTTCTTTGGGGAGGTGAAACCACAACAACCTTATTGTTACTTCCAAAAATATCATTGGGGTATGCACTGTTTAGCAAATCAGGAGGAAACTTTGCAAGACAGGAAACTTCTGTCTCCTATTTTTATCACTCTGTGTGTGTGTGTGTGTGTAGGTGCAAACGTATACATTTAATGAGGATTTCTGCTGGTGGCCATGCCTGTTTATATAGCTCCTGCCTTGATTATTTATTCTGACATGCACACAGCCTTGTGTGGTACAAGCACAGCTGCTTGTGGTACTGTAGTGTGAACCAGATCAGAGAACAAAACCAGGTTAAAAATCCTTCCTTATTCTTTTTATTTTCCCCAATGATATTTTAAATCTAGATTAATTTTATTTCTTACAGAGTTTACTCTGTGGCACCACCAATTAATTTCACACAACTGAGGGAATGTGTTGCAGCAAAACTTAAAACACTTAAGATGGAGAGGAGGAGGGAAATGGCACAGTTATCGAGTATTGTTTATCACATTTGCTTTCTTTTCCCCATGCCAGTGTGTTGGCCTGAGTCTCTACCACTTCTAGTCAAGCTGGTGAAAGTACAGTTCTCATTTAAGCCTCAGTATGTAATATATAGGTTTCTAGTTGTGTGACAGGTCCTTGGTTTAGGTTTAAAAGGCTGAAGTGAGCACTGAGATTTGACTACAAGGGTCATTCCAGCAGACAGCGATTGCTGGATAATGCGGGATGGGAGGAGCTCATTTGGCAGCAGTTCAGGACCCACAGGATCTTTTTACTGAACATGGAGGAGCTCTGACAAAGACAACAGAAGTAACTTTCTGATGATAATGTCTGAATAAGACATCTGCTAAGAAACCACTGACACCGTAATTCCATGTTGCAGGTCTCGGCACAGGAGAAGCCGGTGGCTGTAAGAACCTGTGCATGAGGACAGGTGATTGCTTTCAAGTTCGAGTTCATACTGAGGCACTGTAGCACTGTTTCTGTATTAGCTGATCTATGAGTGCTTTGTCAAAGCAGAATCATAGACGAGATAGATACAGTCTTTGGTGTGCTAGCTTTGTGAATGTCCTGATACTTTCTAATAATTTTTTTTTGGCTAAAGGTCTGAGGAAAAGAACTGTAACATTCTAGACTGAACACTGGGATGTAAGTGAAATACGGAGCTCAGGTTCCCAAAGGGATTGCAGTCAGGGTATTCCTATTCCTCTAGCAGTGACAATATACAGTCCTGTCAAAAAGAGCAGCTTTGATACTACTCTTGTCTTGGACCCTTGCCTGAGGCCAGAGTGCTACAAAACCATCTTAACAGAGTCTACAAATAAAAATTAATCACTCAGGAGCAAAGGATCCAGTGGAGACTGTCAGTTTAATAGAGTGTTTTTCTGTGACAAAATAAAAGAAGAATTTGCTGATTCTCTCTGTGTTCATGAAGTTAACTATATATACATTCCCATAGGTGTTTGATTTTACAATAGCAGAAGACGATGTTGGAATTCTGAATGGAATGCATGATGGGAGACATGTTTCCTGGGATCCAAGCCTTATTGAGTGAACGAAGGTTTGAACCTTTTCCTTCTCAGTGATCAGTGAGTCACACCATGTAATTTAAATTCAAGGAAGGTTACAGTATGAATGTAATCATGATAGTAATGTCTGCTATTAATGATAACTATTTTGAAATCCTTAACATTGAAAACACAGAAAAGATTTTTTTGAGGATAGCACTTTTTTACTACCCTCACAGAGATTTTATATTCCCATCTCAAATCCTCTTCCCTAGTTCACTGAAGCCTATGCAAAGACTCTTGTTTATACCATCCACCCTGCATCAGGCCATTTAATCAAAGAGCATGATGAGATATCCCTTCTTGAAAAATGTAGGGAAAAAATTATACCTGCTAGTGTATAACAAAGGTGTTAAGTATGAAATAATTTTTCAAGTACTTTCTTAGAGGTAGAATCTACAAAGAAGAAAAGGATGGGTGAAAAAAAAGTATCATAAAACAGTATTTATGTTGTACAATAAACTGCAAATCTCCACCAAAAATACAATCTCACTGTAATATGCAATATCTAAGCATCACAAAAAAAAGGTTTACGCATATGGCATTGACTCAGAGAGTTTTATGTGTATTACTTAGTAGCCTGTAGATATAACAAAGTAGAAATCTTTCCAGAGAAGTCCATTTACTAATAAAGTATCTGCACAGCTGAGTTGAACAGCGAGCTCTGAGAGCCAAAGAGGCATCTTTGTTATTACTTAGAGAAAATTCTGGTGAGCTTTTTGTGTGAATTAGTTTAACTTTCACTTTGGGTTTGTCCAGGAAATCTCATTAACAGACTGTACTGTTCTTCAGATTTTTTTATAAAATGTCTATCTATATAAAGAGATAAATACAGATACGTGTAGTTTACAGATCTGTTTTGAGAAATATGCCTGCATAGTCTATTGGCTGAGTAGTCAACTTCTGGTTGCTTTGGTTTGATATTTTAGGAGTTCCTGCGTCTAGAAAGGTATGGAAAATCTGATTATGATTTATATTGTGTGTGGACTTCCTGAGGCAGTTTTCCCAGTGCTGTTCTGCATTAGTCTTATTGTGAAACAAAGCTCCTCAGCTTTTTTATCAAGAAGTGACTTACAGCAATCATATACTCTAGCCTGCATTGTATGTCCTCAAAGTAGAGCTTGGCTAAAATACAGACAAACTTACCTTTTTGATAACAGCTCCTCAGAGTATTTGGCTAGTTTTTCCTAGTAAACTTTTCCATAAAAATTTGTCTAGATTTGCCTCTGAAACCATGAATATATTATTTATTATTTTAAAAAATATATGAAATGCTGCTTACTAATACCTGTACAGTGTAATGTTCTGAGAAAGATACACAACCTCTCCAGTAAGGCTGTTTTCTGGTGTTTCAAGCTTGGCCTGCAGTCCGGGAATGCCACTTCAGGTGTCTAAGAACAGCTCCGTACTTGGCTTAACTTTTGTGATGAGGGGTTCAATAGTTCCAAAAAGTAAGGCTCACTTATAAAACTAAGGTAATTCTTGGCTTTTTTTATCTTTTGCAGAAAATGATGGCAATGACTAAGTGAAAGTTGGAAAGATTGTCCAGAAATAAACCTTTCTACTAGTGGCTATCAGCTAATACTACTTTTGAAAAGTCACTTTATCGAACAACACCTTAGCAATATGGAAAAAAATTCAAACTGTGCTGTTGAGGGAGTCCTTGCTTTACAGTGTATCTGAATTCATAAAATGAGGACTAGAAGTGAGTCATGTGCCTAATACTCACTCAGTGTGGCTTTTTTGGTAGTGAAGACTTTCAGAAATTACAAAAGATAAGTCTGAGTTTCACCTCTAGTTCTCTCTGAAGAAACAGACATCACATCAACATGCTACTCCCAGCATGAATGATTCGTACTAAATCTTTATATATGCTAGCAAATTCTAGCTCCAGTATTACCAGACCAGGATCAGTTAGGCCTAGTTATGTGGCTAGAAGTCCCATGTTGGTTATAACAGTTCTGGGTTTTTTGCCCTTAATTCTGACTGATGACCTCCCTTGTTCTGAGCTAAATGGAATTAAAACAGATTTTCTTGGAAATGCCCCACAGAGGTGACTTAATATACAGTGAGGATGGCTTTGAATTCATTAATATATTTCACTGTTCCTTCTGTCCAAGAGATTTTAGAGTGTTTTTTTGTGTCTGCATCTGCTTTTGCTAGGAAGTCAAGCCACCATTTTCTTAATCTAGGTCATGGTATCTAAGCAGTGCAATGAGTAATGAAGGGAATAATCAGAAATAGTATTACTAAAAAAAGCATTATTCTTAAGGAATAGCTGTGGCAAGTTACAGTTTTAATCTGATACTTTTCTAACTATATTCACTCCTAACTGTTGTTGGTTCAGGACTTTTTTTCTGTGGGTTTTTTTTCTCATTATTATTATTATTTTGTAATCTTTCCTAGCACTTCTTTGCTATCAAGCAGTGCCTTTAGAACTACAGAAGAGTTTAATTTGAACTGTGTACAAGGTCAAGTGTAATTTAAGGCGAAAATAAGCTTTTTCAGTGCCAAGACTCAGTTGACCCAAGCTATCTTTCTCCCAGGTGTGATGAGCAGTTTTGCACATTGTGCCTCACTAAGAGCCATTGTTTTCTGCTAGAAGCTATTAATTGCCCTAGGAGACTGGAACCCTGTTATCTCCTGTGTCCTTGAGATAAGTCACTGGAGCCTCTTCCTTTGAATACGGTATTCACAAGTTTTATACTGTGTTTGTTAATTAAGAATCATTGAGTGAGTCCTCTTTTACTTTTGGTGAGGTTGTAGAGGGAAAGACAGAATCAGTAGATTCATATTTTATGTTCCTCTCCACAACTAAATTGACATAAGTCTTGTGGTAGTAGATTTCAAGCAAAGGCTGCTAAAGAATGAGTCCTCATCACCTCCTCTCAATGAACCTTTCTAAAGTACTGATGACATTGATCAAAGAAATAAGACAACTAATAAGAAATTAGCAAGTGAACAGTAGCAAGATTTAGGGGTAGCAGGGAGGAGTGATGTTTGGTAATAGAAGCAGAACATGGAAGACCAAAAGGATATAAAAGTGCTGAGCATATGAAATCAGGAAGTTCAATTCCATTTTTTTATTTATTCTTTGGTCAGTTAGCCTGGAGGTGCTCATTTTTTAAGGTTTTGTTTTATTTTGAACTCAGAATTTGTCCCTCAAGTGAATTCTTGGAATTATATGCATATTCTTCCCCAGAGTTGAAATTCCTCCTCTTGCTCTTATTTCTGTAAAACAAATTTTCTCTAAAGGGAAAAAACTTTTTCACCTTTCTACAATGACCCTTTTTAAGATACAGCAATGCCTCCGTTTCATCCACATAACCCATCATCTCGTCAATAGGATCAGGGAGTACACCAGAAAACTGAAGTAACTTTTTTTTTTCCCTATCATGTAGGTCATTTATGGTAGTGACTTATTGGGGCACTCCTTTTTAGTTGAGATAAACCATTATTTAAAATAAGATACAATTTATCAGTGCCATCTACCTAAGTGCAGTCAGCTGCCTTTGCAGGAGCTCTGTGACTCCTAATGGAAGAGGACTCTCTTGAAACATATAAGGAAAAGAAAAATATAAACTAAAACTCAGTGGAAAGTGTGAGACCATTTTCAGTGCAGCCAAGAAGCTTCTTGCCTAATGAGTGGCTCCCTCTCTTCTTTTTTCTTGCTTCTTTTATATTTTCTTGCTTCATCTTTTATATTACTGGAGGTAAAGGCACTCAAGAATGTTTCATTGGAAAATAATGGAAATGGGGTTTTAAAGTGCATATTCAAGATTTTTTTTTTTCTTATTTGGACTGCAGAAGTGTTTCTATCACACCTGTCCCCCATCATGGCTTTCAAGGCATTATTTTCTGACTAGCATGTGTAATAAAGAAACTGTAATACTAGTAAGTTCACAAATTCACTGAGCCAGGTAGACTGCGTAATATTTGCCCCATTTTTTGCACTGTGGTTAACCCATGTGTTTGAAAATGGGGATAAAGGTGGCATAGCTCTTGCTGGCACTGATTGAATCTAAGCAGTTAACTCTTTCTACATTGCCACACCCCTTCCAAAGCTTTGAAGCTCATCTCTGACTATTGTGCATTGGGTAAAAATTACAGATAAGCCAACCCAGCAATTTTTTGTGTTGCTGTGCTGGGAGACTTTTTCTGTACCTAATTTTTTGGCACTTTTTGTAGCCTTCAATAAGATGTCTGTACTTTTGAAAAAAAAAAAAAAAGGCCAATTATTTGCACTGCTTTGTAGCATCATCCTCTTAATAATTGCCCCCTATATTACAGTGTGTTACAGTTTGGGTGCAATGATATCCACTGCATGTCACCTTCTCAACTACTTCAATTCTCTCCCTTTGGACTTGAGCTTTTCCTAATGTTATATTCATCGTAGTGAAAAAATAAAGTACAAATTCGCACAAAAATGTAAACGTTTTACAATAACTTTTTAAAACCAAAAAGGACATTTAATTAATATTAATGATCAATATCAAGAACATAAAAACAGGCCATCTATGTGCTGATACAGAAGAAATATGTGTGCTTTAGTCTTTGCAATGTTCTCATCACTTTTTTTTTCTCCAAACTAGGTTTTTGATTTTAATCTGAGGAAAGAAGATAAGGAATTTTTGAACACTATGAATATCAACAGAAAATTAATTCATCTAACCTGTCCCCTGTGGAAACTATAATTTAAAACCAGATTCTTCTAGATTGCAAAAGTGATGCAACTGAAGCATTAATTCATTTTAAACTGAAAAATAAATCTGAATTGTTCTCTTAGATATTCAAAGAATACCTAAGAATTATCACACAAGAATCAGTATCAATTGTTTGTATTTACTGTTATGTTAACAAATTAATAAAATAATTTAATTTGCTCTTTTCTGTGTTGCTTTCTTACAGATACAGAAATGCTTACATTTTTTTTGCTCTCTCTGAACTTTCTGGTATAGCCCCCCAGTATAGGTTATCTCACAATGTTATAATTTTCTTCTGCCTGCCTGTAACTTCATTTAAGGTGTCATTTTAACCAATATGAACAAATTAGCTTACAGATTTTGAAAAGTATTAGTTACTTAACGGCGCATATAAGAGCATGCTACAATGCATGCAAATTTTGACAAATTATTCAAAATATGGAATGTTTGTTCAGATATTGCAGCAGAAATATGAATCTGACTTTTTCACTGTTTTTATATTTCTTGTAGTCATGAGAATTTTGGGGGATTCTGGAGGCCACTCTGGATACTTTCTTGGTGATCAGACCTGCTCTCTTGGTACTGTTTTAAGGATCCCTGTTCGTGACCCAGCACTTAGGGAGGAATGGCTCTCTTTGTGGTCTAAATTGTGTCAGAATGATTAAAAGTACATTTTGCTTATATGGATAAAGATTTTTGAAGGTACAAAAGAATGACGTGTTGGAGACAAATCCTTTGCTAATCTGTCTTGCAGGGATTTTCACTATCTTTTCCAGATGGATAGTGTTCAGACACTCCTCTGATGCAATTGTGAGTTATCCAGCCGCATTAGCACTGGGAGAGTACGGTCTCCTGGTGGTGTCAGAGGCCACCAGTCTTGGTACGCAGGCATTGGGCGGACCCCAGCTTACAGCTTCTTTTCTGACACGATCAAAGCATTTTCCTGCAAGGAAATTGCCCTGTGACTAGCCCTGCTTCTGCAATCCTCACTACACTAAGCCTGTCATTGGAAATTCCACAAGTTTGATTGTCACAGGCAGTTCGTGTTATGTTGTTGTTGCTGTGCTCTAAAACATGAGTTTCTGCTCATCCTAAAAACTCAAGTACCTGGGAGCATATACATACTCAGGATCTCTGTGACCAAATGCCTTTGCCTCTTTATGCTTGTGGACATGTTGCAAAACAGTTTTTTAACGAGTTTACCCAGGTGAAGCGGCTGTTACATGACAGTTCAGTGTTCTGATGTGTGCAGCTCTCCTGCTGGCATTAGACTGAGACCTGCATTCTGGTTATTTCTGAAATGCTGCATGAATAACATTGTGTTGTTCTTTCTCCTTATTCTGACCGTAGGCAATTCCAAGTCGAGTTCTCAAAGGAGCTGTATATACACTGGATTTCTGTATGTATTTCACAGAAGTACAAGCTTCCTTAACAGTGGACCTGGCAGTTGGAGAGGTACTGAGAAAAAAGAGTTCTCATTCTGTTGGTGGCTTGTTCTGTTGGTGGGGATGGAGTATAACCCTGGTGTAAACCCCTTGCTGAACACTTAGCAGCAACTACACTTTTGGTAGACTTGGCTGGACCTACCTGAGTTTACTTGTGTTTCAGCCCTGGTAAGGAGGCTAGAACCTGTGCAGTTTGAGCCATGTTAACCTATCATCTCTGAGGATTTAGACGGCTTTCAGTGCAAATCCAGCTGATCTGGCTTCATTTGGCTGAGAAGAGTGAAGCTGTATTTCAGTTTCCTCTGTTGAGATGTCAAGAGGGCTGTAAGTGTGTGTGGTCATCTAATTTTAATGATACTTTTAGTGATACAAATACTCAACCTTTTGGAGTGGAACTGAAATTGCCTGTGTATTTTACCCAGTGCTGCACCTGGGGTGGGGCAACCCCCCAGGGATGGAGAAGGACTTGGGAGTGCTGGTGGATGAGTGGCTGGATATGACCCAGCAATGTGAGCTTGCAGCCCAGAAAGTGAACCGTGTCCTGGGCTGCATCAAAAGCAGTGTGGCCAGCACTGAGAGAGGGGATTCTGCCCCTCTACTGCACTCTGGGGAGACCCCACCTGGAGTAATGTGTCCAGGTCTGGGGTCCCCAGTACAGGAAGGACATTGACCTGTCGGAGCAGGTCCAGAGGGGGCCACAAAGATGATCACAGGGCTGGACCACCTCTCTTATGAGAGATGCTCAGAAGGCTGAGAGAGTTGGGTTTGTTCAGCCTGGAGAAGAGAAGGCTCCAGGGTTAGTTTATTGTGGCCCTTCAGTACCTAAAGGGGGCCTACAGGAAAGCTGCAAGAGGGACTTTTTGCAAGAGCATGTAGTGACAGGACAAGGGAGAATGGCTTCAAACTGAGAATACCTTTAGATTAGATATTAGTAAGAAATTCATTACTGTGAGGGTGGTGAGACCCTGGAACAGCTTGCCCAGAGAAAGGGTGGATGCCCCATCCCTGGAAGTGTTCAAGGCCAGGTTGGATGGGGCTTTGAGCATCCTGGCCTAGTGGGGTGTCCCTGCCCATGGCAGGAGAGTTGGAACAAGATGATCTTTATGGTCCATTCCAACCCAAACCATTCTATGATTCTATGATTTTACACACAGAAAAATTAATTTGTTGAATGTAACATCTCTGAATTGGAGTTCTCTCAGTTGGTAACCAGTAGCCCCAAAATGAAAGCCTGTACATCTGACTAATGAAACCCTGAGTCATTCTAACCTTTAATTAAAGCATGTTCCTTTAATATGTTCCTCTTGCTTAAAATTAGGTGAGAATTACTTCCTCGAGGGAAATGCCCAGTGAATGCATTTTTATTTAGTATTTTCTACATATTAGCTAAACAAGGGGGAAAGCTTGAAATATCTAGGGTATGTCAGGCAGTTGCAGGGGATGCATATGTCAGCCTCAAGCATGATTTATTTCACATGCCTTTTCTGACAGTTGTAACTTAACGGCTGTATTTTCCTCCAGGCTCTCAGGAGGCTAAACATCTTTTCAAGTTTCTAGCTTTGTGGTGGAAGAGTTAATGTCTGTTTGCCAGTGTAATTTATCTGAGTCATTCTGGGAGAGGCGTGGAACAATTGAAGCGTGACTATTAGCATAAATAAGAGAGGGACCCTCTACCCTCTTCCTGAGGGTAGAGTACTCTTACTGTCTTTCAGAGGAAAGCTGCTTCCCCATAACAACTGCTACTGCTAATTGATTAGTGTGATGCTATGAACTGAAAGACCTGATATATTGAGCTCTGGTGTATTGTGATATTTGTTTGCATTTCAATTTGGAGTTAGCAAGAACAGAGTAAGGAAGGAAGAAGAAAATTTCTGCAGTAAGTGCAATGATAGATTACCACCAGAGTTAGCATTTCACATACACCAAGGTGCTTTTTCTTTTAAAAGTTTGAAGAGAGGAGTTATAAAACCTAAACTCACTTCTTTCTCTGTTTCTGTGTAATAACTCTGTTACCACTGTAAGTAGTTGCCATTGCCAATTTGGTTTTTAAAAAAAATGAATTTAAAACTTCGTATTTTCAAACATGTAGGTATTTTACAGCATCCTCTGAACATGCACAGATTTTTGTTTGTTTGTTTGTTGTTTTTTTTTTTTTTTTTTAATGTGAAAACACCAACACCTGGTGCTGTTTGACAGTGGCAGAAAGTGAGCTTATCCCCCGTGGGTCAGTGCTGGCTTCTGCCTCTCCAGTGTGCAGCCTGGCACCATCCTTGCCCCATCGGGCCGGTGCCTGCCCGGGGGGAGCCGCTCGTGAGTCACCCAGCGCCTCAGGAAGCTGCAGGCCAGCGTGCGGGTGGCAGCCACCGGGCCTGCCAGGGCAAAAACACACCTTGGTGAAGTGGGAAAATGGAAGAGCCTCTTCCAGGTGTTTCCTTAAACATGACTTCCCAGGTCCTGTGAGAGGCAGGACGGAGGTGGCATATGGCCATAGCCCTGCTGTGCCTCCTCGGGGGGGTAAGAAAGCCGGAGGGTCGGGAATCTGCCCCCGCATCTCCGAGGCGCAGGGACCGCGCTCGGAGCCGGCCGGGCTCTGCCGGCTCCTCCTCGCCCGGAGCGCCGGGCGGCGGCCGCTGCCGGGGCGGACACGGCTGGGATGCAACCGCGGCGTCCCCTTCCCCTCCTCCTCCGTCCGGGCAGGGCCAGGGGGTCCCGCGGGGGAGCACTTCGCAGCAGCGCCCGCCGTGCTCACGCCGGGCGGGGCGGCGGCTGGGCTGGGCTGGGCGTGCAGGTCCCGCACGCAGCAGGGAGGAGTTAGAAAGGAGGATCGGAAAAGGGTGGAGAGCGGCAGCTGCAGAAACATTAAAACCACCGAGCCCCCCGGCCCGCCCACCGGAGTTGCTCCGCGGGCACGCAAGATGCGCAGGGCCGGCCGGGGCTCCGCGCCGCGCTGGAGCGAGGTGAGGCTCGGGGAGCCGCGCTCCGCCCGCACCGCGGCACGGGGGATCCCGGCGCTGCGGGTCTCGCTCGGCGCGACCCCTGGGGCCCCGAAACAAAACGGGGGGAGAGGGGGAGCTGCCCGGGCCGCGCCGTGCCCGGCCGGGGGCTTCGTCCGGCCGAGGTGGTGCGGGACGGGAGCCACGCGCGGTAGAGACCGAACCGGAGCGGGGCGAGTTGGAGCCCGGGAGCAGTGCGGGACTGGAGCGGGGCGAGTTTGAGCCTGGGAGCGATGCGGGACAGGAGCGGGGCGAGTTTGAGCCTGGGAGCGGTGCGGGACTGGAGCGGGGCGAGTTTGAGCCTGGGAGCTGTGCGAACTGGAGTTCGGGAACAGAGCAAGGAGTTGAACCCACTGGCCTCGGACCTCCTGCTCTGCCCCGGTTAGGGTTAGGCTGTAATTTAACAACTCTGCCTGCTGTTCTTTTTCCCTTGCACGATACCTGGGGTTTAATTCTTTTTAAATGTCCACTACAAAACCTTTATATGTAAAGAGAGTTTGCTCTATATGTGTATTCCTTAATCATACCTATTTCAAAAGCTTGCAATACTAGTTCTTTAAATGCAAGGGGTTTTTTGACATTCTTTGTTTCAAACCCATGGAATGGGCTTGCGCTGTGGTTTAATTACGTTTTTGTTTTTTGCTTTTCTAAACTTTTTACTGCTGTGGCTTTTGTAAAGCATGTTCTTACTTGTGTTTAGCAAGGGCACCCCCTTACCTGTTTACAGCTTTGAGATGATCTTTT